AAGGTCTCGCCAATGGCGAGAAAATGGGGTCCTTGTGTGCACATTGTACTGTACACACACACATACAGACACACTAACTGCAAAGACTCCCATTTTGTGCTTCGCACATGGGAGTCAAAAATAGAGATTACAGTATGGCCATGATCACCATGGTTATAAACTTTGACCTTGGTACAATATGCAATTTTTTGTCGAGATGATTTATCCACAAAAATATTTGGCATAATACATTATAGCTTTCTAAATGTGTTGTTCAAATAATTCTTACGAATAACAAGATAACTTTTACCTTATAGAAATATTCCAACTTAACAGGGCAGAATCTGAACCCTTCTTTGACTCCCTCATGACGCCTTAGAAATGATCCAGTGGCGACTCTTCTAGTGACGAATTCAATCGGAATCATATCACAATTCACACCAATGAAAGATGTGTCGCTATGCTGCTTTACAAAATGGGTTTTTATTCCTAAAAATAAAAAAAAATTAAATAAATAATATTGACTACTTTCAGAGATACATGAATAGCACAGTTAGGAAATTTAGTTGTAAAATTGACAATCGATTTTTTGGATGAATGGGCAGATGACACAGAACCACACAAATCAAGTCCAGTACTTAAGCTTACACTGACATACCGTAGTTGTCCAGGTAAGTGCCCATGACCACCCCCAATTTTGATGCAATAAAGAAATTGAGGCCATGTCCGGGCATACACCCAGGGGGTCTTTTTCTACACTTGTAATAACAAAAAGCTAGCAAGAAGACCTATAGCTAGCAAAATAACCAATAAGCTAGCGATATAACCAATAAGCTAGCGATATAACCAATAAGCTAGCGATATAACCAATAAGCTAGTGACATGACCATTAAGCTAGTGACATGACCAATAAGCTAGTGATATGACCAATAAGCTAGCAAGAAGACCAATAAGCTAGCAAGAAGACCAATAAGCTAGCAAGAAGACCAATAAGCTAGTGATATGACCAATAAGCTAGTGATATGACCATTAAGCTAGTGATATGACCATTAAGCTAGTGATATGACCATTAAGCTAGCAAGAAGACCAATAAGCTAGCAAGAAGACCAATAAGCTAGCAAGAAGACCAATAAGCTAGCAAGAAGACCAATAAGCTAGCAAGAAGACCAATAAGCTAGTGATATGACCAATAAGCTAGTGATATGACCAATAAGCTAGTGATATGACCAATAGCTAGCAAGAGACCAATAAGCTAGCAGAGACCAATAGCTAGCAGAGACATAAGCTAGC